ACCTATATTTAAATTAGGTTAGGTTCCCCGGTTAAAACTAACATCGTGTCCTAGAGGAAAATAGCTACTTACGCTTTGACAGCACTTACCGCTTACGATCGCCATTTTGTTTACAAGCGCTTGCTAGCGCTTTTTTCTGCCAAACGCACCCATTTTGTGTATGTGGGGCCACAGCACCAATTTACCATCAGGTGGACTGTGTGCTCGTTTGTCACCCTTATTCTATAAAAAAAAAGTTGCTACTGCAGTCCATGGACATCTGCAACTAACTTCAAACAAAGAAGACGTCAGATACGTTGTCACCTCTAAGGACTAAGATGAAACAAATCTTGTAATCATACTGGATATCTATACCCTTCATAATGGAGCACAACAATGCATGCACCGATGTTTGTTGGTAGAAATAGGTAACTACCTAGATGGACTTTAGAGATAAAAGGAGTCCTATCATCTATAAAATTAAACACGATAAAATCCGTAAAATTATTTTCGTTTAATACACATTAACATATTCGCGAAAATATAAGAAATCATTATTCTCTTTAACCGTCACCAAACGCCAATTTTTTTTTTGTTTAATATACAAAAGCACTATATTAAGCTACTAGCTTTTTGCACCGCGGTGTTACCCGCGTCCACGTTATAGTGTCCAGACAGTTATGATCCACATTTTTTATGAGATCGTATAATACGTAAAGCTCATGCAATCGCAGGGATTCTCATATTTCGGAATGATAAAGATAGCAGATTTAAAGTTAGACTATGGCGTTTCGAACAGCGAAATCCACTCCTAAAATCTGCCTCGTAGTACTTCCGTACATCCGCCTTCTTCAGTTAACTATTTTCTTTTCAGCTGTACGCAATTACTTTGAAAAACATAAGATGATATGCATTGAACAAAAAGGGTTTCGAAATAATACTACAATAAATATGGTACTTTTAGACCTATTATACAATATTATGACAACCGTAGATTTTTTTTATAGAAGAGGGGGCAAACGAGCATGTGGCTCACTTGATGTTAAGTGACTACCGCCGCCCATGATCAACCGCAACACCAGGGGAATTGCAGGTGCGTTGCCGGCCCTTTAGAAAGGAGTAAGCTCTTTTCTTGAAGGTCCCCAGGACGTATCGGTCCGGAAAAATCGCCGGTGGTAAACTAGTCCACAGAGAGGTTGTACGCGGAAGAAAACTCCTTTTGAAACGTACTGTGGTGGACCGCCAAGCATACAAATGGTGTGGATGGTATCAGGACGTTAGCCGCGTAGTGCGTTCACGAAATTTGGCGGCTGGGATTAATCCGAACAATTCCTCAGAGCACTCTCCATGGTATATGCGAAATAAAATGCAAAGAGATGCAACATCTCTTCGCAGTGCCAGTGAATCGAGCCGATCGGAAAGCACTCGGTCGTCGACGATTCGAGCCGCTTTGCACTGGATGCGGTCAAGTGGAAGGAGCCGGTACTGGGGAGACCCAGCCCAGAGATGGGAACAGTATTCCATGTGCGGCCGAACCTGCGCCTTGTAAAGTCGCAGGCGGTGTGCCGGCATGTAGATAAAAGAATCCAATATGTGTTATAAATACTGATATGACAAAAGCGTTTAATTTTGTTGAGCATAAAATTTTACTGAAAAAATTGCACGGCTATGGAATAAGAGTAAATGTCCTTAAACTCTTAGAATCGCACCTATGTAACAGATCTCATTGTACGAAAATTTCTAGAATATGCTCCATCATCAAGGTAGAATATGTATATTAATCTGAATCTAGAGATATAAAATATGGCGTGCCTCAGGGCAGCGTGTTAGGACCGTTATTATTTTTAATACACGTTAACTATCAAAAGCAACAAATACAAAATGGGTCTCTTTGCTGATGATAACACTGCAATTATTGAGTGCACTAATCCTAACAATTACCAAAACGAAATTAATAATTGTACATATATGCGAAACCATAAAACGGCTAGACAATTACAATTTGAGAATAAATTTAAACAAAACTAAATAATGCATTTCCATCAGCGTCGTGCATATCCAACTATTTCTGTTACATACAATAACTGTTTGATAGAAGAGGTTACCAGTATTAAATTTTTAGATATAATTGTAGACAGTAAAGTCACTTGGAAACCCCACAAAGAAGGTATATATGTAAGCGCATGAATAAATCCTCATACGTACTTTTTCTATTATCAAAAAAAGTGAATATTGAAACATCACTGATCATGTCAGGGCTTGGTAGGTTCGATTCTTCGATATGGTGTTATTTTTTGGGGACAATCAACTGAAAGAAAGACTGTACTCAGGTTGCAAATCCCAGATCCCAGAAAGGTATTCTGACTAGTTTCACGTGGATGTCCGTACGGATGTATGTATGTATGTGTGTGTAAGTATGTAAACCTTTCATAACTTTTGAACGTCTTGATCGATTGATATGCAGCATTCTAAAGAACTCAATGTGGAGAACTCAATAGATTTGGTGATAATATGAACTGATTCTAAAAAATAAAAATTTTGAAAACCTGTTTTTTAAGAATAACTTTTAAACGGCTTTACAGATCGATTTCAAAAACTAATCGGCTTTTAACCTCAAAAAATTACGTCAAAAATTACGTGGAAAATAAAAATCGGTTTATTCGTACGTGAGATATCGATGGAGAAAGAATTTGAAAAAAAAAAACGTTTTTTTAACATAACTTCTAAATTTCGCAACACAATTTGGTGAAATTTGGAGCGCTTTGCATTTGAAATTAGCGGGAAGTTCCAGGGATGTCCTGCAAGGTCAACCAATTTTTGTAAAAAGAAACTACACTTTTTTACTAAATTATCAGCAGTCAAGAAAGCTCCAATACGTGTTCAATACATGAATCAATTAAGCAATTTAAAATGTAAGACTGCCTTAGTGCACAAAAGCTTTTTCGGACTTGCTCCTAAAATATTCAACAAAATTCCAAATGCAGTTCAAATAATGCCACTTTTAAAATTTAAAATAGCACTGCAAAAACTTTTTCTTGATGCTTGCAATTTGTTATGAGTTTTATCTAATTTTATGTATATTATTTATTAATATAAATATTATGAAAAAATGTTAATTTTAAACTATTTGTATGTCTTGTTGTGAAAATGTTTGTATGTATTACAACAAAACATAGCGCACTATCAAATGTATGACCACCTATTGTACATATGTATACCCATGTTTCACAAACGAAAAATTCTGATTCCGTGAGCGCTAGTGGAACTCCATCGCTCTACATTTATTCGCCGTGCCATGTAAATCTAATTGGAACTGTTATAATTTCCATCATACTTCTTGTCATAATCTTGTGTTTTTATTATATATTTTTTATTCAATTGTACGATTTATGTTCACATCCCTTCATTGTGAAAATTTTTTTGCGTAATAAAGTTCTGGCTTTGGTAGAAATCGCTTACAAATAAGCGGTTTCGTCCAGAGCGACAACTTTGTTTTTGTTTTAATGCGAATTAGTGTAAAATAAAAAAAATTATTGATAAATTCAAAACCGCATCAAAATAGCTTACAATTTTATAATAACTTTCATCGCCTATTTAACGCCTAAATACGTGTTACATAATGAATGATATCTTAGATTTACGTGTTTTACGTGTTTCATACTAAGTTTCTTATAATAGTTTTTTTTTTAAATAGAATAAGGGTGACAAACGAGCACGCGGTCTACCTGATGGTAAGTGGATGCTGTAGCCCATAGACATCTACATTTGTTCTCGATTAAGAATCAAAACCACAAAAATCGTAATAATGTCTTATTATTACGATTTCTGTGATCAAAACGCAGATGCGTTGTCACCCCAAAAGGACTAAGATGGAATGCCCCGTTTCCAGTAATAAAGGGTCTCTACACTTACCTTTCGAAACACAGCAGTATGGATCGGCTCGACTGGAGAAGTACCACACTCTCACAGAATACCAGCGTAAAATAGCTGCTGGGTTTTTTGTGGTGAGTATAGAGAACCTGAGATCTTAAACTATAAAAAAAAATAAGATAAGCTACACGATTTTGTTCTTTATCTACGGAGTTTGTAGAATGCCCAAAAATCTATCGGCGTCATAACGCTACACCCTGACATAATAAAAAGTAAGATATGTAATGATCTTAGAATATATCCTTGAGGAATTCTGCAGCACATAATTTCAGAACAGCTTATATTTTGCTTGTTTGTCTGGCTAGTTGGTACGGATTTGCCAATTAGATTTAACTATTTCAAGTTAAGCTTTAATAGTTACGTTATTGAATAAGTTCTAAAGAAAAATTGAATGGTTAGTAACGCATGCTTTCTGTAAGTTTCAAGACGCTAACAGCAATGTAATTCTACTTAAACCTACTCGGTTTTCAAATCTAAGAAGAATAATGATTAAGTAAATCTTTACGATTCATTTTTTACTTTTTATACCCATGGGGATAATATATATATATATATATATATATATATATATATATATATATATATATATATATATATATATATTAAATAAATATGGGTATGGATATGGGGCTTGTTAGAATAAAGATGGACATTTTGTATACGGAAATGTTATTTTTTCAAACAGGGGTATAGTCTAAGAGTGCCAAATAAGAAACGTAAAAGCATTATTCTGGAAGTAAGTTACCACAAAATGTCTAGTAGTAATTAATGATAGTTTAATCAGAATTCATTAAGAGGAGGAGGTTAACAATTCAACTGTATGTTTTTGTTATTTTTTTTAACAATTGTAAACATCAATTTATAATAAGAGAAATGATCGTTCTTGTCTAGGGATGGAGAAGTCAAAACGGCTTTCAAAGCCAGTGGTTCCAGCGAAGCAACACTAGTGTTGCAGTTGTGTGTCTATAATTCGTGGTTATGTGTCTTACATACGCATTGGAATGCGCGCTATCCACATCTGTCTGACTATGTACATAGTACTGTACATAATTATACCGCGTATCGTAAATAAATTGAATAGATAGGTGTCTTCACTGTTGTTTTGCTTTGCTGAGTTTGGTAGTTCGCAGTTCGAACTGTGAACTATAGTGAGTAGATCGGCGTGTTTGCCAGGGCACGGCATGCGTAAACATTGTGGTCAGAAGGAATGCATTAAGACGGTAGGTGCTGGTAGTGAATATTATCATGAGCGGTGATAACGTGGCGGTGAGTGCTCGCGGCTCAGTTAGCGAGGCGGGCTCGCGTGGTGCGGTCGCGTACTTCGTACGTATCGATAAGAAAGTGACGTGCGGAACTCTGTGTTCGCGCTCGCGTACGCGCCGCATTCCATCGTGGGGGCCCTTCTCCGCCATTGGCCGATTCCGCGTGACGTCACACCTCGTAATGAGGTATTCAACATGGCCGTGTAGCTAGTTCGCGAGTGTGCTTCGTTATTCGTTTGAATGGATTTAATCAGTGAAATATGCCAAGGAGACGAAACGGTGAGATACCCTTGCCCGACGGATGGGATTATGCGAGGGACTTTGACGGAAAGTTATATTTCATCGACCACAACAATAGAAAAACGACGTGGATCGACCCGCGAGACAGGTAAGTTTTTCGAAGAGAAGTGTTAACCCGCAAGAGCCCCATGTCAAAACTTTACATTCCCATGCGATTTCCTTCGTTTTCTGATTGAATTTATTACTTGAATTATAATAGAATATTGGTGTGTTTGTTATGCTTTGTACAATTAGTGCTGTGACTTGTAAACATGGTTTTTAAATAGAACAAATTGTGAAAAACAAACTGATCGCCCGCCGCGATGCTGCTGCTCTCTGGCGGAAAACACGCGCAACCACTCGATTTCACACGACATTCCACAATTGACTAACAACAACTGACCTAAACAAATTATGGTTATCATTTTCGTATCCTTCGAAATGTTGTGCCTTATTGTAGTTGTCGTTTAAGACCTAAATCCTATAGCAATAGAAAACGGTTGAATTAGGCTACAATATAATTAAATACAAATTGCAGTAATATCATAGGCTCGGAAATAGTTCAATAATGTTTGTGTGATACCGATATGTTTAGACGGTGTTAATGCTTATAGTTTTCGTTTTGAGCGTATTGGGCGCAATACGTACTACGTAGAGAGCGCGTTGGGAGATGGAATGCACTGCATAGGCAAGCTGTTCGGTGTGAATGACAGGCCGTAGAATGCGGCCCGGGCCTGCGGCGATGGTCGCGCCTTTCTAAAGCGGCGCAAACCCCCTCGGCCCCCTCTCGACTCCCCTTAGTCGCCACCACTTCGAATTGCAGGTGCTCACAACACATCCCCATTAAATACCGATCATGTCTAGCTGTTTCTATTTAGCATAGTTAAGAGGACACCTGCGACATTAAAAAAATAACCTTAAAAGCTTCCCACCCGCAGCTGAAATGCATAGTAACCGTTAAATATGCTAAACATTGTTGAGATGATGGTCAGAAGGGAATAATTATTCATGTTGACAATGAAAGAAAACAAAAACCAATCGTTCAATGGAAATGTTTAATGAATGTGAAGTTGTGTTTGAAACCGACAAGCCAACAAGAAGTCGCAAAAATTTTAAAGTAGCTAACGCAGTAGCAACCTTGCGTGATTACTAGCAACTAGTCCGATAACTAAATTTATTATAAAACTGTGATCAATTTATTGTAGCATATGTAGCACACAGAGATGACTTCAAATATCTGTGTTGGACTTGAATATGGACGTATTTCTCAATAAGTATTCAGGACAATCTGATCCCGAGCATTGACACTACAAAATCGTTCACATACTATACATAAGAAACATAAAAGTTGTATTTTTATTAAACATTCCATACGATCGGAACACAGAATGGTATGCAAAATTGCACTTATGCAAAGTAACCGAGCAGATCGGAACGAAGATAAAAAAAGCATGGAATTTGCCATCTAATAAATTCAAGGTTTTGCTCACGTAATATTGAATTTAAATGATTGCTCAACTGATTGTGTTTCTTCAGCCTATTACCAAAAACAATTCTAGTATATTACGTTTGTGTACTGGAGACCTAGCTAAGAACAGCGATGGGACTATAATGACCTAGAAGCTAAGCGTGCCACCGCGATTGTCACATCACGCTGCCGAGTAGTTTCGCACTCGAAACTCGCTTACAATAAACCGAAGCACTAAGCCAATTTATTAACGCTAAAAATAACCCGGCAATGTCTCCGACGCTTACGTTATTAACCTTATACGGGCTATCAAAACGTTCCGCTACTTAAATGGGTAAGTACTGTAGATGAACTTCAATATCATACTCGTACTATTTACACTTTTTTTTCGTGGTAGAGCCATGCTGCAATTGTATTAGTAGTATAGTTGTAGCACGAATGGGTCGGCTCGACCGGGGAAGGACCACGCTCTCACAGAATACCAGCGGAAAATAGTAGCTAAACGCTGCTGTGTTTCGTATGGTGAGCGTAGAGAACCGGAGAACCTTTTTACTGGAAACGAGGCATTCCATCTTAGTCCTCACGGGTGACAACGCATCTGCATTTTGATTTGTAATCGAGGATAGATGTAGATGTCTATGGGCCACAGCAACCACTTACCATTAAGTGGACTGTGTGCAGTGTGCTCGTTTCGTCTCGTCGAGAAATAGTTTTTTTTTATAGGATAATGTGACCTATGCTTTAAAAAAAACTATTTTCTCAAAAATAAATACTTTGTATGATAATCGAGACGAAATTTACATTAACATAATTATATTATACATTTAATTTTTACGTGGTAGAGCCACACTGCAGCTATATTATGGTTGTAGCACAAATGGGTCGACTCGACCGGGGAAGGACCACGCTCTGACAGAATACTACGTGTCACCCATTTTCTTTAAAAAAAAAAAATTGTGTACGGTTCGTACAAAGAAATAAATAGCTACAACACTTCCAGTAACGAGGTATTGCTTGCTAATAGGCATTTGCGGTTTTCGCAGTTCGCTAAAACCGGAACCCATGAGAAGAGTAGAGACGAAAAGCAATGACAAAAAAGTGACACGTCGCTAGTCGCTTCGTGGGCGATCATCAGCGACTCGTCGTAAATAGAGAAAAAAGTTATCGTCTTGTTAACTTTAATTCAATGGTTTTAATAGGTGAGAATCTTACGAACTTAAAGCAATGATATTGTATTGACGGTGACGGGTGAGTGGGAACTTATGCGTGCGTTCTTGACGCCCATTTAATTATATCAGTTGAATGCGATCTTGCTCCATACCTAGTATTGTTCTCATCGCATACCAGCGTTGTGGACTGTAGTTCATTAGCGCGTAATTGTACTGCACTCGGAAAATTGACTTTGTGTTACGGTATTAAATTGTAACGCTCAATCTAATGCTGGATATTTTGTAAAAAATGTAAGAGCGAGTTAAAACGATTAGAAGATAGTACTTTTTAGTACCAAAAGTAATCGTTCCAAATTACAAGGTCCACATGTACGTAGAATGTGATACCGCATGCGGATCCTAACGAACTTAGTACTTAACAGATATTACAAAGTAAACAAATCTCCATACCTCGTTTAGAATCGTTAAAATTGCGTATGAGTATGACAGTTTTGTAATTATTAGAACAAACATAAAGATACTCGCTATCTCTTTCTTACCAGTATGAGATGTATGTATTTGAATTGGTCAGATTCAATTTTTTTTTAATTTCAAAAATCTTTTCCACACAAAACACAATATTTAAATAAAATTAGTGATGAAAATAAGAGTAGGTATTTATAATAAAGATAGTATTGAAAAGAATGTCTAGTAATTAAGATTATGTATAGTCAGGCAAATGATACAATAAAACGTAGTTATTATAACATATTATTGCAATAGATATTAGTGTTGGGCCTATGAAATATGGTGGCTGTCGATTTAAGAGCATTAGTGATCTGTGGATTTAATCAAAAGTTGTTATGATTACTAAGATATGTCAAAAATGATAAATTTATTAATACCTTTATAAAAAAATAAATTGACAGTTGAAGCTACAGATTTTATTTTCGGTTGGACTACAAAAAATTTTGTCCACGATTCGACAGACAGGCATATTGTTGTAAGAAATATATAAAAGTCCATTGAACAACATATTTAATATACAATATATTAAAGAAGATAAAGGACAGAACAATACTTTGTTATTGTCGCTGATTGTGGAAACAAATTACTGGGACTTAACAAATCCTTATTGTTAAACGTTGTTGTCACTAAGTTGGCAAAAGTGTTATAATAAAAGACTTTTTGTGTATTTTTAGGCACAAAAAGTAAAATATCGCCTCGCTCAGTTTTCTTTCTGATACAAAATTCTGACTATCTGGATGCTGCTCTATAAATGGACCATTAAAAATTATGCTCTAAACTTAAAAAGCAGACCACACAGACGTGTTTAGACTATAATATGTGATATGAGGTTTGTATCGCTTTTAGTAATAAATAAATGTGACATGTTTGTAATATGTTCAGGTCATTGAATTAAGTCGGAATAGATAAAGTTGATATCAAATGCTAATCATATAAGACAAAGTGATGAGTTTTGCAAGAACATGTTTCTCATTGAATTCTCTGAGACAAACACGCAAACACTTAGTAAATACGTCCCATGCAATGGAGTCGTCTTTACGAGATTGTGTAATTCAAGTAGGTATGTGTAAATCATCTTACGGATACTTCCCACGCACTACGCGCTCCTTGGTGCGTGACGTTAAGGGGCTGGGCATTTTACATGAGTATCTTGACTTTAAACAGGGGAGTTATTTTAATTCTCCCACAATCGTGTACCGTAGAGGTATTAATAGGTGGTGTGATCAGATAAGTTATTTCATCGTATCATACTTACAATTTCAAGTTCAAAGTTTATATGTAAATATGAGAGATCTGTTTGCTTTAGGTATATTTAATGCCATCAAAAACATAACTTGTAAAAAAAACCAAGTCTCGCAACTCAGTTCTTCTATCGTAAAAAGTTGTGAGATCCATGTAATACCAAGTCGGTTAATTTATTCAGTCCCTACATAAGGGTCCTTCCGTCTTAAGTTATTACGTAATTAGCTAACATAACAACATCTTATTGTGACCATATCAATGTTAAAAATCTTTTATGTTTTAAATAAATAAATTGACTTGGGCCATCGCATGAAAACACAATGTATCTTACAATTAATACATATTATAATAAATTCGATTGCTAATTGCGATTGCCAAGTTAATCTATTTATTTAAAACATAAAAGATTTTTAATAGATCCCAGATCTCAAAGGAAATCTAAAATATACAACTCAACA